GGTCGAGCCGGCGGCGCGGCCTTGTTCGAGCCCGAAAGCCAGCGCGGGCCCGCCATCTTCGACCCTCCCCTCCTCCAGCCCCGCGCGCCGCCGCCGCCAGGGTCCTGTCCGAGTGCCTGCGGCCTCCCCGCGTAGACCCGGACTACCTCCCCTGTACATACCTGGTGTCGTCGGCCACGTTCCTAACGAATAGAGACGTGTTGGGGGGACGTAGGTAGCGGGACATATCGGCTGCGTGAGTCTCGGCAGGGGCACTAACGGGCTCAGCAAACCGTCCACGGCTCCGGCGGCGAATCCTGGGACACACACTGCCAGAGGGCTCCGCTACGGCAACCGCCTCTTATCGCGAGACTTCACTCCCGCCTCCACTTCCCCACCCCCCTACCTGGGCGCTGCGCCGGGACTCGCAACTGCGCTTTCCCGCGAGATCATTCGGCGCGCTCCTGCGCATGCGGGTGGCTGGGGTACGTGCCGCAGCCGGGGTGTCATTCATTGGCTTCTCGCGCTGCCTCCCCCTCCCCCCAGCCCGCTCTTTCTTTCTTTAATGCCTTATTTTCCCGCCCTTTTCTGCCTTTCATCGCTTTCCCTCCCTCCTATCCGCCAAGTCAAGAAGCAGATTTTTTTATTTTTATTTTTTTACCCTACCCCAGACTTTACAGTTATTACTAACTGGATGGAGTTTTAAACATTGTAATTCGGAGAATTCGCCATACGACTTTCCGTGTGGTCCAAGGTATGCCCTGGCTTTTATTAGATCGCTGACCAGCAGGAGAAGAATTTACAGCTTCTTCTGAGTGTGTAAGAGGAGAGTGTGTGTCCTTGCAGAGAGATGGGCCTGTCCCTCCCGTGCTTTCTGCACCTATGGGGCGCCCTCCCTGAGGGCTTTGCCCAGGCTGCCCCTTGCCCAGGCTGTGCCCAGGCTGTGCCCAGGCTGCCCCTTGCCCAGACTCCTCGCGGCCACTTCCCCCACTAGCCTCCATGTTTCCTCCTGGACTTAAGCATTCTCAGCCTTTTGGTTGGGACTCAAACCTCACATCTTAGTCTCAGTTGTCAACTCCACTGTATATTCCGTTTTCCCTGTTGCTAACAGTTTACTGTGTTGCAGTGGTTCTCCAACTTTGTGGTTCCAGAACCCCTTTACGAAGGCTTTACATAACTCTGGACAAATTATAGAAGACGCCAAAGAGCTTTGTTATGTGGGTTATAGTTATTAATATTTACTGAATTAGAATTTAAAATGATGAAAATTTTGCACGGCGGGCGTGGCTCAGCAGTTGAGCATCAACCTGTGATCCGGGAAAACTCGGTTTGATTTCTGGTCAGGGCATATGCCTGGGTTGTGGGCTCCATCCCCGGTAGGAAGCGTGCAGGAGGCGGCCTGTGGATGACTCTCTCATCGTTGATGTTTCTGCCTCTCTCTCTCCCTTTCCCTTCCTCTCTGTGAAATCAATAAGGACATTTTTTTTTTTTTTTAAGCCCAGCCAGGTGTGGCTCAGTGGTTGAGCATCAACCTGGGATCCAGAAGATCTCTGATTCCTGGTCAGGGCACATGCCCAGATTGCGGACTCTGTCCCTAGTCGGGGGCATGCAGGAGACAGCCAATCAATGACAACTCTCTCATCATTGATGTTTCTATCTCCCTCTCCTTTCCTCTCTCTGAAACCAATAAAGATATACTTAAAACACACACACAAAAAAACAGTGAGGATTGAAGCTGAGGGAAACAGGCTGCTGGAGCCCCAGAAATTTCCTCTTAAAGGGCCTGCACATGTACTTATTCAGATTCACTCCCTCTGAGCTCCAGTTCTGGGGCAGCAGCTTGAAAGGCGTCAGACATATGGGGAGGAACTGAATTGTCCAGCATCGGGGTGAGAGCTGGGTGGGGAGGGCAGCTTTCTCCCAGACAGAAGTGCTAGCAGAGCCATAGTTCCTTTGATGAGCCCTCCTCACACAAAGCCTGCAGGCTGGTGCTATATCTGAGTTTCTATCAACCTGGCTCACACTGTTTGCCCCACCCTGGTGATTCCCTGAAGTCCCACCCCACCCAACTTTCAGGCCCACCCAAGCTTTTTCCAGTGACTTTTCCATAGAAATGACCCGTCTTGGCTCATGCTTCAGATTTTCCTTAACTGTCTCAAACACGCAGATTCTGCCCTCAGCAAGGCACATACCTCTTGCTAAGTGGCCCCAGGCCCTGCACTAGCAGTGGCCAGCCTTGGTTCACAGCTTGGCCTCACCTAGGCACCTCTAAGCCCAGCACAAATAGCCACCATCTGCAGATCCTTTGTAGCTCATGCCGGGCAGAACACAGGCAGCGGGCAACCTTGGTCTGCACTTCCCAGGAGGCCCTTGCACCCAGTGGACAGCTTTAGAGCCAGTGCACCCAGTGGACACCTTCAGACCATGTCCGAGCACCACCACCCAACCACCTCCAAGTGACACACTCAAGGGGTGGACTCAGCGGACACCAGAGCCCCACTGAAGTAAGTCCTAATCTGTGGGGTTGGCCCCTGCACAACTGATCCTCCGTGGTAGTTGGTGGTTGGTGGTGATAGCTAGTTCTTGCAGTTGATTGCCCTGGGGGTAAATCCCTCCCATTGATGTGCCAACAGCAATCAAGGAGAGTGAAACTGATACTTTTCCAAAGGGCATTTGCTCATGTATAGCAAGTCCTTAAAATTTTTCATATTCTTTGACTCAGTGATTCAACACTTAGGAATCTGTCCTAACCAAAATGTACAAGACATAGGGTGTCTGATGATGTTTATCTTAGGGTTAGTTGTGGTTTTTTTTAAATATATCTTTATTGATTTCAGAGAGAGGAAAGGAGAGAGAGAGAGAGAGAGAAACATCAATGATGAGAGAGTCATTGATCGAGCCTGCAACCTGGGCATGTGCCCTGACC